ACGACCAACACCATTATCGACGTCAAGGAGGGACGAGTTACTCTCTCGGCTCATGGGGAGATGGCTACCTTCACGATGAACAACGCCCGGGAAGATCCACCCAAAGTTGGCTGCAGATACGATGATGAAGTTTGCGTCTTTTGAGACTATTGTGGAGCTTATCTACAAGCATGCAATCCCCACACCCAAGAATGACTGCAGTAAGTCCCTGCAGCTTGGTGTTAGTTTTGCTGGTGGCTATGTAGCTGGCGTTCTGTGTGCTGTTGTGTCTCACCCGGCTGATAACCTCGTCTCTTTCCTCAACAATGCCAAGGGTGCTACTGTTGGTGATGTGAGTGTTTTCTGTATGTAGTTCATTTCTAATTCCTTGATACCCTCTTTTTAACTTTAATTTACGCCTTCTTGGTACTTTTACTCTCACAGGCCGTAAAGAAGCTTGGATTGTGGGGATTGTTTACCCGTGGACTTCCTCTTCGTATTGTCATGATTGGAACCCTCACTGGGGCTCAGTGGGGTATCTATGACGCTTTCAAAGTTTTTGTTGGGCTGTAAGTTTATTTACCTTGCTCAGCTATTAGGGAATAATGTTTTGCAAACAGACATGTAGTTTTCTTAGAACTTGACTTGGCTATCTTTTATCGTATTTCCAGGCCGACAACTGGTGGTGCTGCTCCAGCACCGGCTGCCGCAGAACTGGCAAAGGCGTAGAGTTAGTGGAAATATTGAGGGAGTACAAATTACGAGATAGCCCCCTTCTTCAAAGGGGCAATAAATTTTATATTACATTTGAGTTTTGCTAGCACCTGAAGGTGAAGGAGGGTATGCAAATATTATTTCTGATTTTTATTTACTCTGCTTATTTGGTATTTTGGAGGTCGAATCTTCCGGCATACTTAAATTGTCATGTTATTTTTGTTGAACAAGCTATAATGTTATGAAGGATTGTGAATTACCTTCCAAATCATGAAAATAATAGGCAGTTGCAAAAACATTAGCGCTGTTGAGTCATTTTGTTCCTAAGATATTTAGAAGGTGGGGGAGGATTACTTTCTCTCAAACATTGAGAATGTAGGAGTTATGCTTATTTCATTTTCCTTGCTCATGCTGCTTGGTGGTTTCATATATTTTTGTTTTGGTGATGTTAGTTTCTTACTGCTGTGCTTCAATATTCCATTGTTTATTGAATTGCCTTTTCTGATAACGTAACGGAAGATTACTTGTTTAAGGTTATTTTTAATCCTCGAAGGGAGTACTGTCATTTTTAAATAAAAAATTTGGTAAAATGAATAGCTGAACCATTTTTGTTGTGCTTGTATAAATAGGGGTATTTTTTTCTTTTCAGACATGCAATTTAGAGAAATTAGAAATGTTAGGATGCCCACCGGTCCTCCAAGGGATCGGTTATCTGCCATTTACACCCTGTGGCACTGCTCTGCTCCTTTCTATTTGGTGCTGAGTGAACTTAAGCTTGTTTGCCTTTGTGTATTGGCTGAAGTTGGTACAGCACCATCCTTGTGTGCCTTTTTGTTTTCCCTTCCGGCCAGTGTGATTGTGTGGTTCCTCACCTTGTTTGAGGTGTTGGTCGGGTTGTGCAACCTGCTGTGTTTGTGTTCTGTACTGACCCTCTCTTATTTTATTATTGTTATTTGTATTGTTTTGAAAAAAAAAAAAAAAAAGAGAGGTATTTATATATGGATTTTGACTTCAAAAGTCTATCTATAGAAGCGATGCTAGGTGAAAATTTTTAATTGGATTTTACAATCTAACCATTGAAAATGGTTTTTGAAGAAGTCTTGGGGAAAAATGTTACGGTTTCGTAACGAAACCATTTCGTCGGGGTTTGTAACCGTTGGATCAATTATTCCGAACAGTTACATGATGATGTAACGGTAACAAACTCCGACGGAATGGTTCTGTAACGGAATGTAGCATCTCCCGAAGTCGTAGTTGGATATTTTGAAAAGCCCGCTACAAGTTTAATTTGTAAGTAGGTTTGTAACAAATTGATTTTTTTATTCGATTTGATATTTGAATTCGAATACGAATAATGTCTTATATTCGAAAGTTAATGTTTTATATTCAAAAGTTAAACGAATCTGAATTCGAATTTGTAGATATTCGATTCGAAAGATCGATATTCAATTCGTTAACGATATTACATAAATTATATATATTATATATAGGATAAACTTTGTTATATTAATATTATATATACCTAATATTATTATGACATAAAAAGTACAAACATTCCAAATTAATAATTTGTCCTAAAAAATCTCAAATTGGATAGAAAAAAATAAACACTATTTTTGTAATTATAATTTTTCAATTATTATATTTTTCTGAAAACGAATCGAATACGAATATAAAAAATGAGTTCGTTTACGAATTGAATACAAATTCGAATTCTCGAATATTTTAACGAATTCAAATCGAATATCTTAATATTTGCTTTGATTCGATTCGTTTACAATCCTGTTTGAGTTGATGGAGGATTATTATGTTAAACCCTGCACCTGGATTAAATTTTGGCATAGTGATAATATGATGAACAAGCGCTAGCATCGGTGAAATAATAATACATTAATTAATTTTTGATTATCAATAATCGAATTAATTAATAGACATTATATCTTAAACATGAGGAGAAAATTCGGATAATTATTATTGGAGTCTCAATTGTAAATTGAACTAGGAAAATAGAGTGCAATAATATTATGTTAGTGACTCATAATATTATTTAATTAATTGGAGGAGTGAGCTAGGCCCACAGTTAGTCCAATTAATTAAGAAGTCCAATTCCTAATATCCTAATAGTCCATATTGTAGTTCTATATATACACCATTAGGCTCATTGAAAAGATAAGAAGAAATCAGAATTTTTCTACGTGTGAAATTAAAACACACGCGC